CTGCATCTCTGCCGCCGGTTAAAAGGGCCTACGGACTTTCACCCACTGTAATTGATCTCTCACAGAACTGCTTCATGGATACTGCACCGAATAGTCCATCATAATCATCGACTGTCTGCTGTATATGGATTACAACCCTATTCTGCGAAAAAGCGATGTTTCTTGCCAAGAAAGCAGTTCGACAGCATCGTCCTTGCTTAAAGAACCAGCCACAGAACAGTTAGATGTAACAGGTTTGTCGTACACTGAAATTTGCCTTGCAGCTTAGCGATTCATAAATCAGTTTGTTGATGTAACCTACAAACTACGATAAGGCGAACTAGCTTCCTTGCTCTGGTCGCTTTACAATAAACGGCTATTTCTGTGAGGTCATGAGAGGCCAAACCGATTGCAATCTGGAAGTGTTCCCAGTAAGACTAGCAATTTTCCATTAATATTAATTTCGAAATTCGCCGTCGGGCATTCATAGTACTTGCGTCCTAAGACGATATCGGCTTTGGCTGCCAATCGATATTTCGAAAGTCATGACTAATGCTGCGGTATAACCTTGTTTTGCGTTCGCAGTTGATAAGGTAAGGTTGCTTTTCCTCTAGAAGGTATCTTACTAGAATGAATTGCTTTTTAGAAAGAGAAAAAGAAGACGCATTATTACGGTCTCTGAATGGTTGCATCGCTATCTGGGTTACGGAAAATACGTGCATCCGGAAATACAAGCGGCAAATTGATGTCCGTGGCGACTTGGACGACTTTAGCGCCTATCTGGAACCTCAGATGAAGTGAAGTAGATTTGTAGGATCACCTGATTCTACTAATCTTGTTTCCTTTAGCTTTGTGGTCCAGCGATAGACGCCGGAGCCGTCAAAATCGTCCTGAATATCGCCACGCAATTTGTCGCGCGATTCCCGGCCGCACGAATGCACACATAGGCTGCTTTCAGACTTCGACGTCCGTCCTTCCTCCGTGCCGCGACGGTGGTTCTGGACAGGTGTTGACAGCGTCTGATACCGATTGATACTGAGATAGACGGGATTATGAAATTAGTCTACTCTTGTCTTGCGGTATCAGCGCTGTCAACACCTATCTAAAACTGCCGTCGCGGCACGCATGCGACGGACGGACGGACGGACGTCGAACTCTGGAAGCAACCATACTCTGCCATCTGTAGTCGCTTGGGTGTTTCTTATGTAGGCGTAGTATGGTCCGATTTATCGATCGGCGACCGGCGTCGACGTCAGCATCGCACTATGGATGCACCTATTCTCGTGATACCGTAATCGCAATTGTGACTCTGGTCGGAAAATGGCTCGAGTGAAAGTGCTGCAACACAATTGTAACTCCTAATGGACCTGACCATTACCGTTTTATGAGTCACGTTTAGGTGCCGTGTGAATCTTAACTTCTTACTGTTCTTGGTTACTCTGCGCATTCACGAACTTGCAAATTTAATCTCATTACCCCGTGCCTTGTCTGAGGCCCTCTTGTGATACCTCCTACTTGTGTCGGGATCACAATCTGTGTATTCATACAATATTATGGCCTTTTTCGATGGCAGATAGGTATTTAAAGTGCTTTGAGTCATCACATAAGAAAATCCACATTATCGATCACCACACCGACAAAGCTGATTACGCTCCCCCTCACATGCGGTGATTAATACGGTGTGGGTTTTGCGTCACGTCAGGATTAGACATACTCAAAGCGCTCCAACTCATGGGTCTAGTTCCCATTGTTTTTTATGAGCTGATTAACCCCATTAGCTTAGTGTGCAATCGGTCGTTGATCGGAGGTTGTGTTCGACGAGCTTCTCGATCTGTCGCGTTTGGAGAGCGCGGACAACGACACGCCTGTTCTACCTGCTCCTTACTCATTATGAAGTACCCTACGACGCTCGGCAGGTGGTACTTGCCAAGCAATCGCTGTGATGATGATGATCGGTAAATGGACGAAAGGAAGTCGGCAAGCAGAATTCAATGTTTTTCCTGATATCGACTGGACACACTCATACTACCGGCGTTTTTCCGTCGATCTCGGTGTTCTTCCGTTAACGTCTTTTTCCGACGATCTCTACGTTCTTCCGTTAACGTCGCCATCGGTAGCGGATCGATGCTGTGAAATAGTACGCCCGTGCAATAGGTAACGAGACGGCTGGATTCATTCACGCAGTAGTATAGAACATGCCATCGAACATTTTCGCTTGCTTCAGAGAGAAACTATTTCTTCGCACTGAGCAAACATCCTGGATAAATGTTTACTCGTTCTCCTTCTCCAAATCGTGAAATGAAACCTTTGCACCCAAATCTTCCTTTTTTGCCCTTTAACTGTGCCACCCTGCAGCATAAGTTATCAATGTATGAAGTATCGATCGGCGGAAGACGGAAGAACATCAGCGTTGGCCGTCGATCGATACAAAGTAGGTTGGTAACACAGCGTCGTACTATGAATGCGCCCACTGGATCCAAGCGAGCGACGGGCAACAAGTGCATCAGTAGTGAACAACGCGACCCACTGTCACTTGGAAGGGCTTAGAGAAGCGTTATCTACAAGTATGACCCATTGACTCAGGGAATCGTTTAACTTCAACCCTCCTTGACCTTCGCTTACCGGCCAACGCGGAATGTAAAGGTGGCTCTTCCAGTTCGTTGACGAACGCTCACAAATGTTCCAACGCTAATGAAGGCTAGACTTGGCGCCATTCTCTTTCAAATACTATTGATCACGCTTGGGATAGGGCGTTGCAGATTGAACACCGCAAACTCTGAAGGCGGCTATTTCTCCGATTTACGCTGCGGACACACAAGTAATACTGATAGCGGGCCCGCTCGTTCTGCAGTTAAACTCTCACACAATTTACCGTCTTTGTTTCATCACACATGTGAGCAAGAGCATGTTTCTTTTGTGTGCTGAGGGTTGCTCATTCCCACGTTTTAGCACTTTCCGATTCCACGATTTTCGAACTACTTGGAATAAGGAATACATAATGAGTTAAGTTCTTTTAAGGCCCAGATTTACGTATGTAATTGTTATACTTGAAAGAATAACATTTTCAGCAGCGTGACATGGACAGGGTCGAATGTAGAAGTACTCATAATTCTTCAAAGTGCAGTATTCGTGCCTTTCGTGCAAAATTACAGCGACTGTAACGTATTTTATTGCACATGATCTCCACTCTGCCTTCGCTGCAATGGTAAACGTACGAATAGGTATTTCGGGTATTTCGTGACTGAATAACTGAATCAGAGTCGCACTAATGGAACCGCTGAGGCGCTTTAAAGTAAGGCCTGATCGCTTTAAAATGGTGTTTGGAACCGTCCAGATCTTTTACTACCCATCTTCTTTATCGTTCTGTTCCGAGTATTTTTTTTTTCAGAAGAAGCCGAGCATTTCGATGAAGGACAAGCACAGTTCGCTGCTAGTACTAGTCAGTCGGAGTGGGAAGCCGACATTGAAGAAAAAAGTCTTCTACTACGGGGAGCAACTAGACGAGGTGCTCGCTCAGCGCAGTCAGTTTCATAGAACTCCACTTTTTCAATAGTTCAATTACATAGGTACAGGCGCTTGCGTACATTTATTCTGTTAATGATATCTGCTATTTTAGGGTTGGTTACAGTATGAATCCTCGACGTCTACCTCATCGTGAGTCACGAGTAAAATCGTTCAAGCAACTTCTTGAATACCCGAGAGCAGATGATGGTAAGAAAAGCTTGTACGTCTTCGAATCCTGTCTCCGTTCAACTACATCTGATTCCCGTATTGCAGATGTCAGAAACTCATTGGCTGCTACTGAAATGGCCCCTTCACGAATTTTCGTCAGCAATGATGTGATTGGAATGCATCTAGATTGGCCTCTTTACAGTCAACAAGCTGAATCTTTTGCTACAGCAGCTCATATCATTGTTAGCGATGCTGCTCTGGTGAGTTGTTCTTTTACGGTATTTCTTCCTTACCAACGTAAATGAAAGCCCCTAGCAATAGCTACTCTTGTTTGGAGATACACTTCGCTTCGTATTTCAACAGAATCGTGGTGGCGGTTTGAATGCGTCACAGATGGCCATTATGATTTTAGGTACGGACTTCTCTTATTTGCACAACGGTTCCACAAGAATTCACGGAAGTGGGTACGTTTGTGGTAGCCATGTCTGGTTTGCAACATCGACATGAAGTCACCGTTGATGGGCTTGGATCTTGGGGAACGCCTCAAGGAACGACAAAGTAAGATTATCTTGTTGTCATTCTGTAGTTTATTACTAGAATTGAAGGGTGTTTCTTTACCAGGTTCTATAATTTCTGCTCCGCAACTCGTAAACTGATGATAGCTACTCCGGAAAATTACGCTTACAAGGTGAAAAACGGCTCTTCCTACCTTTCAGGTTTTTGTTGTCAACAATTCCTGGTACCAATGACACATAGATTTTAATGCATTCTAACTTTTATAGAAGTCACTTCCCAGTAGGAACCGTACTTGCCGAGTAGAGTTTTCAGGGAGGCTGAGCCTTTCTGTAACAACACGAGATGTCCTTTTTTGCCCTATCTCGTATGCTAGTTATTGTTCTTTATTCTTGTAGAAGTAAGTGCCCCAGTAGTTTTTTCGGCTTTAGTTTCGGATTCGTCGTTCCTAATCTCTGCGGGGGTTAATCGTGAGCAATTTGATTTTACCGTAACCTCATTAGAACTTGTTACAGGTCCAGAGCAACCGCTACATACATCCAGGCACCGACGAACGAGGGCATTTCATCAAAAAGATATTTTGTGGTCAGTGAATGGAAGTAATAGTGTGAAAAACGAAGCTCACCCTGATTTATGAATGAATTTTCAGGAATGACAAATACTGGTGAAGGCTGCGCATACGCCGTTATAACCTATTCTTGGGAAGGAACTCCTCATCCAATTGCTGTTGCTATGCCGACTTCAGCACCATCGCGAGAAAGACCCTACGGTTCGAGAAGTTGGGAGGTAATTTTTTATTCCAGTGATGTTTTTCATCTCTTATCTTTTCGTACACTGTTCAAATTCCTTGCTCCTCTTCCCAACTCTTTTGACCTGTTGCGCATGTCCTACAGAAGATGAGCTCCGGTTCCTTGCATTTTTTAAGAAAAAAAAAGATTAACTTAGGAGTTAGGGAAAAATAAGTGTAAGGCTACTAGGTTGCTTGTGAATGGTGTTGGATTTGAATAATAGTTCGAATGTGATGGTTGGGTTGTCATTCTGTTCGGCAAGACACTCTCCACTTCTCCCAGAAAATGATAGGAAGGTTGAATCTAGTGTATATATTAGGTTCTCTCCAGCACATTCCACGGTAATCTAGTTATTCTGTGTTGTTTGGACTCGACTTCGATTTCTGTGATTATCTCACCTATNAAAAAAAAAGATTAACTTAGGAGTTAGGGAAAAATAAGTGTAAGGCTACTAGGTTGCTTGTGAATGGTGTTGGATTTGAATAATAGTTCGAATGTGATGGTTGGGTTGTCATTCTGTTCGGCACGACACACTCCACTTGTCCCAGAAAATGATAGGAAGGTTGAAACTAGTGTATATATTAGGTTCTCTCCAGCACATTCCACGGTAATGTAGTTATTCTGTGTTGTTTGGACTCGACTTCGATTTCTGTGATTATCTCACCTATTTCGAAAAGGAAGAACGTTACTCTGCTGTATTTTAGTAGTTTCCCTAGCAGCCATAAATTTGCAGGCCTCAGACATCGACGTAACCGTGGATGAAGGTATTATGCATCATGGATTGCCGGTCTTATCGCGTGTCGCAGTGGACTTCGATCTTGCATGCAAAATTCTATTAGCCGGAGTCGAGATACCGCAGCACAGGTATGACACCATCAGATCATAAAATTATGCTTAGGCTCTTCAGCCTGTGTGAGATCCTTAGGAGGCTAGACGCAACAAATCAGTTTTGTCTGATAAACTTTCTTGAACTCTACAGTTAATGGGCAATAGCAAATCGATAAAATCGAGCCCTTACATCCAGCGTGGCATTCTATACATAGGATGGCTTACAAGAGTGAATGAGATTAGAAAATCTCATTTGTGCTTCCTCTCGCAGTACTCTGAACTTACTTCTAATACTTGTGCGATTACTTGTGCGCTACTGATGCGTGTCTGAATTCAAGGTTCCAGTGTGGGTCTATTGTGGTTTTGCCAAGTTCATGGTCACATGCAGCCTACTTCTTCAATATCTTAACTCGATTTTTTCACAACTGAAGGCAGATTGTTAGGAAACCACTTCATTGTTTTCCCATTCCCGATTGCTTGGCCGCTGCCACCACCTAGCGCTTCCCGTCATCGAAAATGTCGCTATTTCATTTGCCGATTTGCCGCAGCCCTGTATTTCATGTGTTCCTATATTACCTTCAACTCGTCGTCCCCCTCAGAGTATTTCATCACTGTTTCATCGTATGATTCAGTTGTCTTCGCCTATTGCTCATACACAAAGTTGACCTATTTATAAAGGACGCTTCTCAGGCTTCATAATTAATTCAAGTGTTTGTTAGACAATATGAGATCGAGGATTGTTAATTTCTAGTGAACTCTTACTGAATCTTCAACCTGTGAACTTATTATCATCCTAGCTAGTCAGGACGTTGAAGTACTATAATTTTTAGTTGTACCCGGGAAATCCAAACAGTTAGTCTTTTTTTTTTTGTAGAAAATGGAACCATTCAAGGCTGAAGAAGGTGTGTAAGGAGCTGAAAGCTTTCCAACATGTTTAAGAACTTTTACATCTTTCATGGAAAACCACGAAATGAACATGTGGAGCTATTGACCTTTGCTCTCTTACATTCATATTTCTAATTTCTTGTTTGGCATTATTTTCTGTACCCAAATGCAAAGATTGAATCTTCATGGTGAGTCCTGATTCGAGGAGCCTTCTGTATCTGCTAGTGCCTTATAATTAACCCTTTGACGACAATGGAGATTTCGATGTGACGCTCCAATGGGACCACGCTTCGCTCCTTTCGCGCGCGACTGGTTCTCACCGGTGAGTGGCACTGTTCATGAGAAAATTCTATCACTGGCTTACTGAATTCAGCAATTGGTAAGAAACAAGAAAGTATAGTGGCATTCAAAATTGGGTGCCAATGTCCCATGCGCCAGTCCTAGTGGCACCCACTGGTGGGTGCCATTGTCGTCAAAGGGTTAAAGCGCTTCTTTAGGAAGTTGTCGATGAGAACAGGTTTACGAAATAAGAGTGTCGAACACTTGCTCGCTTCATATAATAAATCCCGACGATGCATGAAACGGCGCAAGAGTTTTGCAAACTCTCCTGCAAGGCAGAACACGATAACCTGTAAGTACGCAAAATAGAAGTTCGTAAACCGTCGCTTTTTAAGGCTAATTAGTTTTTCGCTCGACATGAGTAGAATTTGATTTTTTAGTCACTGTGAGTCATGCGCAATTTTTCCGTGACGGGTGCTTCTGTCTAACTTTTCCATTGTTTGCGCTCCAGATCGTATTGATCGCCTATTTGATTGAGAACGCGGTCTTCGACAGGTTTCCAACTTTTTCAAGCAACTTCATAGCTGAATTTGAAGCTAACTTGTCGAGCTTATGCAATACACCATTCCTCTTTAGGTGTGAAGTTGGTTCAGATAGGTCAGTAAAGCTAATAAGTTTCAGTAAAAGCCCTAAAATATATTGTATGATCTCATTCCATAGCAGATGAATACAGTTTAATGGTTTAAGACGTAACTCCAAAATAAGTGGTAAATAGAAAAACTAGGGATTCGACGAGATTGAGGCGGCATAGTTGCATGCAAGAGGTATTTATTTGGGCGAGCTATTCGAACGCCTTTGCATACAGCTGGCTGCAGTTCGCTGCCTGCTTGCAACATTTGCGTCCCGTTTCGAATGGTTCAACCTATACAGCGTCTACAACACGTGAGCATTCGTCCGCCTTGGGTGTGTACTGCCGCTATACCGTTTGGGCCCTCACTGAGCCCAATCTGAGCCGTTTTCCGACCCGAAAGGGTCCCTTGTGCTATCTTTATGGGTAACAGGCCCATTTCGGGGAAGAATCTCGAAAACTGTTTTTAATTGGAGTGTGTCTTTAATTGAACTAATCGGAAAATAGAATTTCAGAATTTCCAAATTTGTCAAGCCACACATATGTTTGTTTGAAAGCACAACATCCACAAAATGTTAGTAAAACAAATTATTCATTTTGCTATCAGCTCGATCGCATTGCGAAAAGGTTGATAAAACAATCACGTGAACTCCCCATGGGCTGCGAGATTTTTCAAGATTCAATGCGTTCATTGGTGCCTACGCACGTCATTGGTAAATGTTTTTATTGCCGCGATTAGATCAAATCATTTTGAACAGGTGATCGTTTAAAGCAATCTGATTGCTAGAATTAATTTTGGGTTCAAGCAGAAAGTCAAGTACTCGCTTTTAATTTTCTGTCATCTCACTTCGTGAAAGCTGACTCACTGTTTGCAGACTAGAAAAATTACTTTAATTTAATTTATGTGGTGAGTTTTATCCGATGGTGAAATTTCGAGGTGTGTCGTAATCGATTTCGATGTTGGAGGAGTGGCATTGACGGCAGCGGAGCCTTTTGTGTGTCATCACGAACCTGTTCGGGCGTAGGCTTTCTCATAGGCGAACTGATTCGTCACTGTCGCCGCTGATCGTACTGCTGCGATATGTCGATTCATAGTGTAGCATATGTTCCAACTGATATTCCTTTTTCAAGTTACTGTAAAGTACTTCTATTGATTATTTCAAAATTTGGACCCTCATCTCAGTTATAAAAAAAAATTTAGCCACAGTGTCTATCCTTTTTTCTTTTTTATCGACCCCAGCTCCCTCACTCCATCGAATAATTCTGGTGTTTACGTACGGGGTTATCCCACAGAAAGACCACTGTTGTCAGAATCCTCATCAAAACTTTTGGGTAGTTGGTTAACATGGTTTGCAGAAAACTTCTCATTGGCCTTGCTTTCGTTTCTCAGTGCTGTCTCAGTCACCTACTTTTTGAATCGAGTCCCAAAAAATACAAAATGGGCTCATCGAACATCCATCAACATCGTGTTTGGAATCATGGAGTGTTATGGCTTTTTTTGCTTTTACTGTCTTCGTAATTGTTTTCCTAATCGTTACCAGTTTTCTACCTTCTAGCATCATTCCTTTAGACTCGAGTCTGAAGAGGAAGTGCTACGAAAAAGTGGGCCGAGGCATGTGCTTAATTGACCAGTTGGCACGCCTTCCTTATCCACACCCTCCACAGGAAGGTTGCAGCGTTTCTACTAGCTGACTTTCCCTATTTTATAATCCCTTTCCAAGGAAGCCAAGTACCAACCTTCTCTATCGACACATCACAGATTTTCCAATGTAAATGAACTCGTCGGGACGTATTTTTGGTCAATCCTCCAGTCCGGCATGGTAAGGAGAGGCTCCTGTTCTGGGTGGACCAGCCACTGCGCTGCTAGCTGTATTTCCTATTGATGTTTTACCTATTTAATGCTATTGAAGTGCTTATGCTTCCCTAGGAGGATTACCATGTTCACACTGATTTGGCCCCTATACCACCCACGTTTTAAACTATCTTTCATTCGGTTCGGTTCCAATCAAGTGCATACAACCTTGCTGTCTGTGAAAAATCATTGGAGCAAAATGTCATGATGCTTTCAAGTGTATTCAGAAGTAGCTTCAGAAGTAACTGACTCTTACTTCGTTTAAGCTGTCTGAGGTCTTTTAGCTCTAATTTCGGTAGTTTCACAGAGGCATATGCTCTTTCTGATTTTCATTGTGTGCGTCCCATACCAGAAAGACTGGTGGGAATGTTAAATATTTACGAGCACCAGGCTAACAATAGCTCTGCTCAAATATTTTGTTAGGTGAACGACGCGTAAAAATATTTCCTGGTCATAACTCGATTTTGTTACACGTTTTCTGTGTGGAAGACCAGTGTTTTCTGTGGGAGGGCAAAGAATAAGGCAAGTAACTTTTAAAGGATTGCGTGTGAATATGATGCCACTGGGTTTTTATATCGATGGGAAGCGAAAGTTGTCTTTGCCACGCCAACAGTATCTGGGCCAGGTCATAGAGTCTGTTGCCCCTTACGACCTTGTCCGAAACATTTCACCTTCGTTGAGAGCGGAGCACTACAGCGTAGGAGCACCGAGGAGCGTTGTGATCTTTGATCGGTTTCAGCCGTAATCGCCCCTGCGTAAACAAGGCTATTACGATGCTCCGCTGATACGGTGTCGGTAGTGGATCAGGTCAGGCGCCATCATCGTCGAGCAGTCGGCTGGTTTTGGACTGAACTTTGTCTTCATCATTGCACTATGTTATCAATGACTATTGTAAGGATCTTGTGAGGCAGTTCTGACACATGGCACCTTTTCCCAAATGTCAACGTTCGCCAAGCTCCAGTGTTAAGTCAAATTGCGAAGCACCTGGTTCACTTCTGTGATGATCAACTTTTTTATGCTCTTCACCACACTTACCCACAACCTTTCGAATGGCTCCCCTCGACCATTGCTGTTTATGGGAGTTTGTTTCTGTAAGTTGAGGAGCTTAAGTCATTCTGGTGCTATTTTGTTCTGGAAAGTTTTTGCATCAGTTTTTTATTCAGTCATTATACGTTACTTGAATGCTCCTAGCTTTTCCCGCTAATGATAAAATCATTGTACGTGAGTATAGCCAGCAGGGTTTTTTCATGGTTACTTTATTACTCTGATATGCAAGTAGTCCACAGCTTTGAGAGAAGCTGTTGGCCAGCAATATGGTACCAGCTAATGTGAGCACGGTGCTGTCATGTGCAGTTTAACCAACGCCATATGAATCGCTGAGAAGTATGAGCTGTCGTGTGCCCCAGGCCTACGTACGGGTGCCCATCGATCGCCGCCTCATCGCTCCGTGTTCCGGAGGCTCTTTCACGCAGTTTCCCCTCGCCAATTGGCTGCTTCTGTCTTCAGCACTAAGTAATTAAAGGTAAGGTTTCATTTTTGTGGATAAACAACATTACCAGCGATGCTATATGTGTAACTGCTATCAGGGTAATCTCTTTCCTATCGGCTTATCTTTAACATCAGATTTGCGGCCGTTGTCGGTGAAAAACAGCAACAACTGTTGGGTCAGAATTCGGTGGTCATGTGACGCGGTGACAGGAGGTGATAAGTTCTGTTTGCCGTAGAGTTGGTTGGACCTGTCTTGTCGATTGTTAAAATAAGTGGTTTGCCCCTGCACTATTTTGCCGACCTTGTGAAAGTGAAAGGGCGAAGAACACTTCCTATTCGCAAAAAAAAACTTCTCTACACAGGCTGCACATAACAGCACCATGCTTATAACGGAGGCTTGCTGGTGATGGTTCGTCTATAGAAATGAATTAATTGGTGAATGGATAAGCAGCACCAATATTCCTACATCTGTGAACTCGATGAACAGAGAGCTGTTTAGTTCATTCAAACTCGCGTTTGAAACCCTTGCATCCAGTCACTGGGAGGATTCTGTACAGTGAAGATCAATTACTGAACAGTAACCCAAAAATCACTACACTCGATCATTCTCACAAAGTTAAAGCATTGGTTCAGTAGATGTGGTTGTATGGTTCAGTTATTCAGCACCCGAACAGTAGTACATGCTGCCGTGTTCGCTGGGAAATTATTCACAACTGGTTCGTGTGCAGTGTTCTTGTCCTTGAACAGTTTGTATAATAGCAGATGGTGAATAGTAAAGGCGGCTGGCTCTATAGGCTGTTTTTGAGGAACTTCTATTGTTGTTCCGCTCCTTTTGAAGTAATGCGATCATGAATGATTGTGATGGGGGCATTCTTCTTGGTTCTCTTAAAGATAATTGAAGGGTACTGTTAAGACAGCAATCTTCAGGATAATTCGAACAATGAAAATGTTGAGAAGCAGTTTTGTAAAATTTTAATCATTTGAATGTTATTTCAAAATGTTGTACTTTAGCCGTAACCAAAACATGTCTTCAGTTACGAAACTATCCGTCCATTGTGAAGGTGCGACGCCGTACAGCTGTCGTCATGCCATAATTTCGAAACTAAAAAAGCAGCAACCGTTTGAATTGCATTCATAAGATTTTTGAAATAGTTTGCTGGTTCTACAGAAGTGGTGTAGAGCATTGGAACCACCTACATACATCCTATTTTGACAGAGCGCTCAGGTTTCTGGATCCCTTTTTTCATTTTATGAGTTCCTTGTACGTACGGATTTGCCATTAGAATAAGATCCATGGTCCTGAGGCATGAAAATTGTCCAAATGTCAGAGATCCTGGGAGTTTCAAGTCATTCCTCTTGTAGTGCGCTTTTCCGACTGCTTTGCCATCGTTGATAAGAGGGTAAACAGTCAGGATCAAACCGTTACGAATGCCGGCGATGAATCTGATCGTTCCATTCCCTCAAAAATGTAGTAAAACTGCCAAAAGAACTTTTCGACGTATGTTATCATAGGGTTCCGATGGAAGCAGTAGTAATATGGAAGGAGCGACCAAAATTGATTCAGGAAATGGTTTCCAAACAGCGAATGTTAGCGCGTAATAGATCTGGTTGGGAAAAGAAATGAGTCTGGAAAAAAAGAGCCCGATTTCTTTTGAAAATGTTAAGAGTTTGAAGAGGGCAGTGGTGCTGTTTTGATAGTATAGCCCTGCCAGACAGTTCGACTACATGGAGCCGTTCACATATTTAGTCAAGGAGTGATTAGCTTTACTATTTTGGACAGGAAAATGGATGAAAACACCATTTTTCTTATTGAAGAATCCTATTCCTGACGGTGAGCATGATAGGCAGAGTATTCGGAGATAATCATCGTAGCTAGGCTGCAACAGGAAGTGTTTCATTAGAAACGCATACCCAAAAGCTGATGTGTGGTGGAGCGGCAAGAGAAATGATCATTCTAATACATTCTTTCGTCTTTAATTTTAATTCTGGACAAAGTTGGTTGAAGGGAGGGGCTGTCTTGTTCCATGACAGTGATATAATGTTGAATGAAGCTGACCAATGTTCGAAACCATTCCGTTATTAAACTAGCACCAGCTGGTGCCATTTTGTACTTTGTCAAGGGCCACGGGTGATGGCTTATTCGATGAACTGCTCATGCTTCGCAGAGGCCTTCAGTTTCCCTATGACATCAGATCTGATGTTGTTGAGCTTCTCACTGTTATGAAGTCTTTATCTGATCTTCCTNCTTCCTGCGCTCCTTTTGCTCAAAATGGCGCGGTAGAAGTTTTGATTTTCGAACAAGAGTTCTTATGGAGAATTCAACAGTTTATATGTTTAATCCTGTGACTAGAAGACCTCTTCCAAACTGGGATCATCAAAAAAGCATAAATTTGGCCTCCTGACACTCTTTTCCCTCATTTTGTTGGTGTGCTGGATTGATCCTCTTTATCTTTACCAAATTTACACTTGGCTCTACCTTTAACTGGACTGCTCTACTCAGGTTTGTCCCGAAATTCATCATGGAGATCGACTTTCTTGAGGACGTAAAATCGGTTGAGGAAAAGCCCGAATAAATATTGATTCTCAATAATATAATATAGAAATACTCCATCGAATTTATGATTATGTGCTCATCCTTATCCTTGTTCTTCGATTGTGGCTATATTTGGCTTCAGCTTATTGGCCGAATCTAATCACCGCTGATATGGCAATCGATTTCGAAAGGAAGCTTCCGTGATTCTTTCATGCATGGGTTACTTCCACTCTCTCAATTTCTCAGCCCATTAGATGTTGATCGTCTTGTCCTTTTGTTTTATGTATGCTATGGCGTCACTTCCGCATTTAACCCTGTTTGCCATCGTACGATTTCATCAAAAATAATTTGGAAATCATTACGACATATTTCTCCTCCTTCAAAGTCACGGCAAAACCGCTGTTTATTACTCAGCCTGCCGATCACAAAGTTCAATAGTTGTTTGACTTCAGGATCTGTACACAAGTGCCTCCAGTGTTTCGAGATGGGGGTACGTTCGTTCTTGATATTGACGCATGCGGAGGCGAAAAGATGTTGTCCCACGACGGTCATGAATGGATGAAACCATCTGGTAGTAGTCGGTCGGTTAATTTCAGACCATATGACTATGACTTGTGACTATGCCAGTGCTGAACTCTTTATGAATCGCGTTGACTTACAGGTATTTCCGTTTCGATGATGACGACAATATAACTCGAGTGGATCGTGCCGGTGTCGCCCCGTCAGCTGAGCAGTTTGACATACAGGTAAGCAGTGTAATCGCAACTGTGTTTCGGGTGTTAATTCAGTGCTGGCTTGAAAGTAGGTTTCGATTTTAGTTATGCCCTCATCTGTCTTCGCATAATAGCCATTCATACTGGTCTCCTGAAAAACTTGATGAGATTTGTTTGTGCATCTGACATTTCCTCCGCTGATGTGGGCGAAATATGCTGATATCCTAGGGTTCAATTGCATCGAGCATGTTAGCCATGTGATTGGAACAGCATTTGCCTGGTCACGCTCCTGAGGTGGCGTTTTTTCGCGCGCACCTGCTCCCATTTCACTTTTTCCAACACAGTCGAGCAAGCCTGGTTCTGCCATTGCGTGACTGCTAGACGCCCACTTCAGTGCCGTTTATCCTTTCAAGACTTTTCCTTTCTAATGTTTTTCATCTTTGGTGGGCGCATGGGGATTCTGCTCTAATGCCACTTTTGAAAGTGCACGTCACAAAAGGTTTTTGGAGAAGAGAAGGACCATAAAAGTCACAGCATTTCCAGTGTAGTTCTTTGAAAAGGAATCGTGTAAGTTGAAGTAGATCGATTCTGCTGCAATTGAATGTTAATGAATATTAATCGTTAGAGAATTTCGCCTCATATTTGGAGGTATGTTTTGAGAGTTCGCCCAGTAAAAAAACTCATCTGTGCAGAACCAATGAGGTTCCTGTTGAGTTCCAGAAGCGCCCACTAGTTTGAGCAATCATAAATGAAGAATATATGAAACAAAGTGCTCTTTGGTTTATTATAATAGCAATTTGCAAAGTATTCGTGCTTGAAAACATCTATCTTCTTTTGGGCATGCTTCCGATATAGCTAGTGCCAGTGCTTCCCCCCTGGGATTGCATATAGGATTTCTTGTCCGAAGACAATCGGTCATGGAAAGCTCGAAAATGACGTTTGGAGATTGGGGTCTCTTTAGAGCTATTCCTTTCAAAAATGGCTTTTCTATGTAGATAAGGGTTAGCTCAGCATCATTGAGACCCAAGCAATTTGGGGCTGAGAGGTGATTCTTAGGATTGTAGAAACTTGCATCACGTTGGTTCTTCCCCAAGGCTCACTTTCGTCACCTGCATGCCAGTTGCCTGGTCGCTAGCATTAGCTGCAGTCGTAGGGTCAAGTGTCATTCCTTCTCTTCACATTCGTTCAATGTGTATGGTGCGTATGCCAGCCATCCAAAAGAATGCTACTAGTTAGGCATCTAGTACAACTATATTCAGTTGTGGTTCAATTTCTATTTCAATTCTTTCATTGACATCAAATTAGGATCTTTTGAGCAAAATTGTTGGTCGGATGTGGATTTGAATGTGTAAACGAACCATGCGAATTCATTGGAAAGGCCTTTTGCAAGTGCATCTGCCCAAATGCATATGTATTGCCAGACGAGTCCAGATGTTTTCGAAGGTTTATACATGCATGGGACCTAAGCAAACATCAGTAAAAGTGAATCAGTGTTCAATAAGGATGATCGTTTCGTGTCCCTCTTATGACTGTAGTCTATTTTGATGATGTCAGTTTTTCTGGTGAAAGGTCGCAGTGTCTAAAGCAGTTCTGTGTGAATTGAGCTTCTAAGCAAGCACTACGTACTTCTTCAATGAGTTTTGCTCCGTTTCCCTGCATTCTTTGCGATTCACCTACAAGCTCCTGAAATGATCATTTTTCGGGTTAAGCGCCACAAAGTTGGGCCTGTCCGCTTTCTTTGATAGATGAGAGACTTTACACAGTGAAACATTGCTTTTCAAGCGGCTTTCCAAAACTAAGTGCTTGACTTTTCCCTCATGAAAAACTGTCATCTCAAAGCGAGTTCAGTGTTGGAAAGTAATTTAGGCGATAATAAATGTTAAAGATATCAGCAATTCGTTCTTTACTCTCAAATTCTTCAAAAGTGCATGTCAGGGGTACGTGCCGTGGTTGTACGAAAAAGTGCGTCCACTTTGCACTATGATCTTCAGACCGCTCTGAAAGATCGATGACTGTTTTCCCTCCACCCTGTTTTTTTCTTTTTGGTTCATGGATAACGTTTAGTTTTCCCCACTCTCCCATTCCATTGCTTACTCCCATATTTTCACTAACACTAGATCTTTTCCTATTTTGCACTATTTCAGTAGATGTATAGTACGGATTCACCCATCCAATCAGCGTGCATTCTACCATTATTGTAGCTCTAGCGCTAAAGTTTTATGGGTAGCGCTCCGCTTCCGCGACATTTATCGTAGGTCTCCCAATTGTTACATAGCCCTTTGACCCAGTTCAGGCTAAGTGCATCCACCTGTTTGGTAGCGGTAATCGTTAAGGCACTCTTAGGCGCTTGTTCGTTTCCTGCAGCGTCTTCCCAATTCTTCCACAAAGGTCGTCTTTCGTTGGATTATGGTCTCGGTGGTCCAGTTTTTTTTTCTTCGTTTACTTAGCATGAATCGCTTTGTGTTCTGTACTTTGGGTGTTATGACACACGATGCTATCGCTGAGGGAATGTTTTGTACGCCATTGCAGGAAAACCAGTCACCGTTTCGCGGGTACGAATAAGATTTTGCCATATTCTTGAACATGTACTATGTGTTTTCATCGCATCGATTGAGCAGTGGAGAGGAATAGGCACAGCGTAACGATTCTCGCCGGCGGTTAGCAGTAGCATAATGCACTCTATCCCCTATGTAATCTGCATCCGAACCAACTGAGTATCAATATTCAGCTACACTCTATTTCTGTGTAATTGTTTTGAACCATTCGCTGAGTAATGAGTTTTTAAGAAACTCATGGCTCTTCCTACGATTTGTGCACATTGCCTGGGGGTTCTCAAGCGGTTAGGGTTATTTGGCTCAAGGAAGCTTTCTTTCTGCGTTTTCCGTTTTCCTTCGAGAAAAACTATTATTTATTTGAAGTCAATCGATGCTGTCACTGGCTCTTCTTAATCTGTCTGTTGTCTAAATTGAAAGCTGCTGGTGGCGTATGCCAGCGATTTGCGAGGTCTACATGCAATATGTCAACAAGAAGTGAAAAGAAAGGTAAGGTTACCATGTAGTTGCTTGGTAACCTTGCAGGTGTTAGTGCCCCCTAACACTAGTCAGTCTGGTCACGGTACTCTTATACTTTTATTTGATTATGCATATTATCGGAACTAATGGGTTTTTCACAACTTATATAGAGTACACGTTTACCTTCAGACCAGCGCATGGAAGACTTTTTAACACGGAGCAGGATTTTGGTTTTACACTTCGTGCTGAGCTAGATGTTATTTCTCTCCGACGTGGATGCGCTCAGACTTCGATACTTGGAAGTTTATCGAATTATTCGTCCTCTATATTGAGGATGAACCAGCAGTTGGCAAAGGGCAAATCCTTGGGATTTCCCATACCATCCACTCGGATTGTGGCCTATGAAAGCATTTTACTGAATCATTGTTATGTATGCATTGTCGCATTCAAAATTTTATAATGTTCAATATTATGAGGCCACCCTTCAGGGTTGGATCCGGGTGGCTAGAAATTTCGTTGTCTGACTTTCTGCATTATTTATTTTACATGGGCGGCTTGACAGTGCTTTATTTCTCAGGCGAATGGATACTTCACGTTCGTTGCCAGGAAATGCTGGACAGGTCCGTGTTGTTGGTGAGCTCACATGGCTGAGGACAATGACTCCGATTTTAGTGGTTTCATCATAAAACCCCTTTGTGGATTGAAGAGTTTGGTAGATTGTTGCGCGATAAACAGCACAGATGCAAATACACGAATAGTAGCGTTGAGCTTATCTTCCTGTACTAAGCAAATGTTTGTGCTTGATAATGATGTTTGGAGTGATTAATTCGTAATGGGCGCAATTTTTATTGTCAACAGCTCATTATTTCTGACTACATTCTTTCTACTGCGAAAATTAGATTGGCTAGTCCTCAGGAACGAGCGGATCAAAGAAAAGGGGGATAGACCGAAGTGATACTTCTGAATTCTTCATCAGAAAGAGTCTCTTGCACTGGGCTACAAAATCATAATTTCAATGCCACCCTGATAGGAAAGATCCCATGCCTTGAGAATCTCACTGTATTTTAAGTCGTCTCAGTTGCTGTCGCTGCCAAGTTATTGATTAATCAATGCTGAGGCTGTGCGAGTTGATAGAATTACTGTCTGTGATAGTTCTTTGTTGGAGTGACGTTCGCAAAGTATTCTGCGTATCTTTAAAGACTTGCCCCACATTTCAAATGCGAGAATTCACGCAGGTGTGAAGGTTTGTGCAAAGAAGCCATTCAGTGCTTCGTCCATTAGAATACTTTGCATCAGTGCAATCTATGGTTTTTCGGACAGCTTTTTCAGTTGACGAAATATGATGAGTAATCCTTATTTCACCTTTTCGATTAATCGCATTCTGGGCACATAGTGATGAGTCATGATCAGCAAAGTTCTCTGTCTCGGTTGTAAGGTAGATGCGGCGAGTCCTACATGTGTTTCTTCATCGTTTTCGCTCTATCGGCTTTACGATTCATTTTCTGCCCATCGTCTCACTTTTAGCATTTCCAACAGTGATTTTGCTTTCTCCTGATTTGCCGATATTCGCACGTTTCATCGCTTTTGTGGGTGGGCACCAACAGCAATGGCTGCCTTTGTCATCAAAACATTTTTCAAGATGCACTTCCGCAGTGTTCATTGCTCGTTCATCATTCGTTTTCTCCAAGAGTTGGCTGTCCGAGCCAGGCGGCTGGATCGATTTTGGCCGTGAGTGTGGTGTTTGTCGACTTTTATCCCAGCGCTAGCCGTTTTTCTTGTTTTCTATAGCTCCCCTGATGTCATCTGGTCCTCTTCATCAACAAAGAAATCGTTTGCTTCATTGATCTAGTTTTTAACCCACACTCTGTGGTTGAATGAGCTATCATGCAGGCAGGTCTTCGTTGTTTTTCAGTGGTTTTTCAGCTGCACTTAGGCGACATGCACGCGTATTGAGGCAATATGCGCGCGTGTTGTTATTCTCCTTCTTAATATGTTTTTCAGGAAATGAATTTGTTGTCAGTTTCGTTGTCGGCCCTCACTCGTCACTCTCTTTTTGAGGGAAACTCATGCATGACGTGACCATGAGCCGGCCTTGAGATCCTGTTTCTGAAAGAAAAGGAAAAACTGCTGTATGATAGCATCAATAGGATCTATTTCCTGCCGTTTTTCAAACTTGCTTTTACCTTCTGCTCCTTAGTCACTGCGTTTATGGTGCCCAAGGGTTTTCGAGTCGATATGATTGCACAACCGGCGATGTCTCAAATGTGGGATTAATATTCATACGTATGTGCACGCCCAACTCCATGGTAACACCTTCTTAAAGTGGTTTTCGTCTTACGAAACATCTACAACCCTATATGTATATCATAGTTACGGTAAGAACTGAAAAGCTTTGATTTGGTTGGGAATGAAATCTACGTGACCTATTCTGTCCTACTTCGAGTTATCTACTCTGGCTTCCACTTCCTTAACCCCTGATACATTTTCCCAAGTGTCAGAATTGTCGAAAAATAACCGGGTTGCGGAATAATTTGATCGCATAATCAAGAATCATTCAGGAGTTCGAGTGTCGCTGTTCGTCTTGTCCATTTTTTACCAGTTAACCCCAACTCATAGCAGACTAGTGCCTTGAAAACATCATTACGACCACTTGAACAGATTTATGGTTTTGGAAGTGAAACGCATTAAGATTAAAGCGGTCTCACTTTTTTTTAGTAGTCACAGGTATAGGTTGTGACTGAAATGGAATTTAGCCCCTAAGGGTAAGTGAGGTCATGTGACATTCTCACAGTTATGCGGATGCAAAACTCTGTTCGGGCCATTCTCATGAATGTACTGATACATCTTCACTGAAATTCTAGTTTCAATTTTCCTAAATTCATGTTTTGGGATATGGACCGGCTGTCGATGTCAGATATTGATCCGAATCGGATCTTAGGCTCACGTTTACGAGAACTCGAGGGCGCGAAATTTCTCGACGTCACTGCTTCAACAGTGTTTCTAGTAGAGAAAGAGGAATAGAAACTTCATTGTAGAATAGATTTTAAACCGAAGAAGCCACCTTAGATTGTTCGAGTTGTGTATTGATGACAGAGGTGTTTCCTCTGTGCGATCTACGTCACTGCTATGGCCAACTTGTCTGCGTGAACATCTCGTGATGAAAATAGAGTGCAGTGATGTCATGAGTGCTGTTAGAAATGGGCTGTCCGCGACGAGCTAGTAGGCCGTACGTAGTCGTCGGCGCAGCTATCGATCGCGCTCGCAGCTGATTGTTTGTGGGTCTGGGTGCGTTTTGCCTAATATTTAGCTTCGATATTTCGCTACCCTTTTAAAGTTGTTACAGTTTGGGTGCTTGAGAACCCGTAATGCACTCAAAAGAAAGTTCTAACTCAAGTTATCCCATTTTGTTAACTTATAAAGAAGTAGGTGGAATCGGAATGGCTTAGTGCGCACTATTTGGGGGTCTCACCAAGTTGAGTTTTTCGCTCCTCGCCACATGGCGAACCACATCTTCTTGTAGTTTGTGGGGAAACAGATATGTTAGAACTGGCTTTCAGTCCTTCTCGTCATTGCTCTTCTGGCACTCAACTTCCATTTAATAAATGTACAACTCCTCTGGTTTTTTTTTACCGTTATCGATCTTTTACTGCCAGTTTCTAATCC